TGGGCTTTATTTGTTACACATACATGATGTTTTTATTGCAACTTTTTTTAAATCACATTATACAATAAGAACAGATTGGGTTGAGTGCATGGAAGGGTTGAGGAAATTAGTGTTGCCAGTTCCAGCTCTTGATAGGCTGACAGGCCAACCTGGAGACTAACCATGAACCAAATGTTTCTGGATTGTTTCTTGGCAAGAACTCCCTTCTGACAATATGCAGCCCAAGCAAAACAATTCCCTACCATCATCACAGGAGGCTTCATTTTGTGGTTGTCTGAAGCCTGGTCACTGTGCTGGAGACGGGCAACACACGGACTGATTTTCTCCATAAATTAGACATTTTGTCCATACAGTATGTTGATTAAGGAAATTAGTGGCAAATACCCCTGCCTTTCTCATAAGAGGTGAGGCCTTGATGTTTTAATGTGGAGGAACCTATTATATTAGTGTAACAGGGTAGCAGCAGATAATAAGTGAGTGTATTTTTGATACATATTCACTGAAAATGTTGAGGATAACACAAAAAAGTTAGAAAAATAACTTTTCCATTGTGGTCCTCTATCCAGGAAGACAGAGATGGTAATACAAGTCACAGGTGACTTAGATAACCAACACTACATTAAACTACAATACACCCCTACCTATAAAAATACAAAGCAAGGTTAACATAATCACACCTACTGTAAATGCATGTATAGGATGCACTCATTCCCATCTATTACCTTCATTAATAAACACACCTCACCCAGCACCCCTACATCCAACAAAGCTGCTTTGAGTGTGGCACGCACCCAACCAAGGCATAAGCGACCCAAATCAGATTTTCTTGCTCATGTGTGAGATCTGTTTTTTTCATGATAGTTTGAACAGTTCAAATTACATGGAATCTGATCTTTTTCATTCTGACCACTTTCATACATATATAAACAAACATTTAGATATACACTCATACTAACACAGATATCTACACCATGTATTACATTTCTAAATTTCTAAGTCGAATTCTCGCGATATGCTTATTAACTCCTAGGCCAGAGTTCACCCTATTAAAGTGTTCTTGAGTATAAGACACATTTTCACATTGGCCCCAAGGTTGTTGTTGTTGTTGTTGTTGTTGTTGTTGTTGTAGTTGATCTGGCACTTTGTAAGCAGAAAGAAAAAGTTAAGTCTTACCTTATATTCTTAGAAAACCTACCTACCTACTTAACCTACCTAAACTACCTGTCACTATTATGATGTCCAGCAGCTAATTGCTACCATTGTCTGTCTGCCCTTTGGTGCTGAGGCAGTGTACTGTGGGTTTATTAGAGCTTTTTTTTTTTTGTTAAAAACGAGGTTGATGAGAGTGAAACTAAACAGTCAAGCTTTTGGCTTGAAAACCAAAATAATAAGGGGGAACTGCAAAGACGGGTGATAATTCTCTGCCACGTCATTCACATTATACATTGTCATTTGATCCATTGTTTATATAGAAATATTGATTAGTGCAGCTTTGTGCAGAAATTCCCACTATTTCATTTGATATACTGTTATATCAATATATAATTTAATGTACTGACAACTATATAACTACTGCTGTTACATTTTCCTCACATTTCACTGTTTGCTGTAATACCCATCAGTCCTTGTTGTGCATGGGCAAATGACAAACGTTCATCTGTTAATCATTTAATTCGGGAAACAATTAAAAATCAATTAAAAAAAACAATAAAAGAATGAGACAATTTGCCTTGTAGTGGCTTATAGGAGATGATGAGACATTAGGATATAATCAGCCCAGATGCTCAACAGATTCGAGTGCTGCCACACACACACACACACACACACACACACAAAGCCATAGGCTCCAACTTCCCAAATGGTCCAGCGTGACCACACCCTTCACTTGCCTAATGTGTGGCACTGTGAGCCACAGCTGGCCTCCCTAGGTCAGGCTACAGGGCGCTCTCATACACTCATGAAGAATTAATGAGGGCGGGTGTGTGTGTGTGTGTGTGTGTGTGTGTGTGTGTGTGTGTGTGTGTGTGTGTGTGTGCACATGAGCCTTTGTATTGGACATGAGGGTATAATATAACATAGTGTTAGAGTATTATTCTCCATACAGCATCATAAATAAAATGCACAGCAGGTCGCAGCATTAGAGATTTGCCATTATTTGTCTCTTTAGCTCATTATAGGAGAACAGTTGAATAGATATGACATACTGTAGGTTGAAAATATTATGTTGAACATAGCAACACCAAAAGAGTCCTTATGGTTTTTAACATTATTAGTAAAATCTTCAAAAGGTGGTTTCAATCCCTGTACAAATGTCATTAAAAACACAGTTTTCTTAGGTGTGTAGGTGTTTGGTGAATACAAATAACAGATATGATTTTCTATTTGTATTCCTGGAAGCAGTACTCTGTAACTGTTTACTGATGCAATAACCTGCTAACAGGAAGCTGTCTATTTTTAAAACAGCTAACTACTGACCCTGAGAAATGTAGTGTGCAGCAAAAGCACTTTGTGAGAAATGAAATGGACTGCAGCTAAACTATAATACATTGATGGGTGGACTCATTTGCATGGAAGTCAACTTTTGCCTGAGTACAAGAAAGACTATGTGATGATACTTTTACTCTACTTTTTCTGTTCATTGCCTATGTTGCTGCAGTAAGTTGTACACATAATCCTATGTGGGCACTTGAAACTTAAATGGAAAGGGTCAAGCTTGACTGCAAAAGTTACAGTGATTTTTATATGTATTTTAGATGCTTTTCATTCTCTGTCTCCAGATAGAGTTTAAAATTAAAGACCCTGTTGGATAAATGTCAAGTGCTAAATTCTTTTAGGATTAAGTCTTAGCATTCTAAGAGGTTCTGCAGTTTCTGACATTTTTCAGCTCAGATGATGCCTAATCTAATAATGGTGTGAGGACAACCAGTGTAGCTGGTGTCATTTGTTATGAAGTTGTTCCCCCGGAGATTTATTGGATGATTATGTGTGTCCTCTCTCCTGTTTAATGTTATCAAATATACCAGAATCAACTCTTTAACATTAGAAGAGATCAGACAGATAGCTCTGCAAATTCATTCAACAAGCATCCAGAGAGAAATATTAAATCTCAAGTATGAATGCTACATTGACAACCAAACCCAATAATGTGAGTTAACTTGAGGGTGAACCAGTCAGTAATGTCTTACTTTTCAGCTGTCAATGCCTGAGTCACTGGAACATAAAGAAAACAGCACTGAGTCCTGACTTCGTTGTCTATCTGCTGTAATTGTGTTACTCTGTGAGGCCTAGACAGATATGAGTGTTGCACAGTCCCATGACTGCTCGACAGTGAAGTGAACCACATCAGCACAAAAACATGTCAGTGTGCTGCCAGTGGATCTAGTTTAGATAAATAAAGAGAATGCCATCTGGTTGGAGAAAATAACATTTCACATAGTATATTACAATGTTTTGATATTGTTTCCAAGCTATAATTCACACACTCTCTTCCAGTTTCTTTCCCTTAGTTTCTTTTTTTTAGCCCATCATAACATAAATTACCAAATTGAGGTCTGAGAATGCAAAAAAGGCAATAAAGACAACATGAAGAAAACACTTGAGTTGCATATTTAAAAAGGTAACGCTAACATAGATTACATTTACATATATTTTGTGACATATGAGGGTGTGTTGTTTTTCTCTTTCACTGATAGTTGAGTGATGAGTTGAGGAGTGGCCAAGCGGTGAGAGGGTTTGGGGCTATAAAAGAGTGTTTCGATGTGTGCTTGGCTACATGCCGACTGATTCACTTTAACTACTCCACGGCCTGCAGTCAGCTCCTGTGTGCACCTGAGGACAGAAAACGAGAAAAGGTAACTTCCAGTTTTGATCTTAACTGCAGCAATAAATAAAATGTTATGTAAGATTTTATATTTATATAGAGCAGAACCAAAATGTTTCCAAGGCTAGATGTTTTCATAGTGCCAGGAAACAAATGCAATCTCAGTCTGGGTTCTGGGCTAATGTCCTGCTTTAGAGTGAAAGGTGTGTACAGTTCAATGGTAGACTTAACATATGTTATCTAAATTTGAGAATATATTTTGTTTAGTATTTTTCTATTTTTTTAAGTATGTATCTTATCAGTTTGATGTTGCTGTTGTTTGATTGGTAATGTCAGCAAGACTATGGAAAATCTACAAACTGATAAAAAAAATAACATTCAAAAATACGTAATTATAAATGTGATTTAATTTTTACAAGAATATGTTTTTAAATCATTAATAATATTTTACAAGTAAAGAAAGTTTATCACTTAAAAAATACAACTCAAACTTTCTTGTGAGTTTTATTTCTTAGGTATTAAACATTAAGAAGAAGCATGGGATTGCAAGACTAGGCAGTTCAATAATGTTGTCAGAATAATTGAATTCACAGTCACAAGAACAACTATATATTAGTGGTATGGGCTGGACACCAAAGAATCATTGTTGCTGCACATTCCTCTCGAAGTGCGCATAAGTCATTTATATAACCCTGAATCAATATGCCATTATGTTACTGCATGACTCAGGATGTCTTCTATGGTCGTCATTCAATTAGTACATTCCATGCCATCTAATAAGCTTTAGTCGACAATGTGTATCTATATGGAGACAGATAATCATCCAGTGTACCTCTTGCTGATACTTTGACATCTTGAAAGCTGTAGAGTCCTCTGGTGGTCACCTAGAGAACTATCTTCTCTCTGCAGCTCACCCAACCTCTGCAGAGCATGCTCTGAGTATAGAAATAAATGTTTTAATAACATCTATTTCAGTTTTTGTTTGTGATCACAGACTAAGATATATTTTAGTTTTGTTCTGTTGTTAGTTTCTTGTCTCTGTTAAGTCCTCTCAGACTTATTAATAAAAAAATGTTGTAAAATAAATAAAAGTGATGTTGTTGTTGTTGTTGCTACAGGCAGCATGGATGTAAGTAACTCATCACATTCTCAGATCGCTACACCGGTAAGAATGACATTATTGTAGCTGTTTTTCTCTACATTTTTCATCTAAATGTAAATGCTTACATTCTTGCTTGTGTCAAACGGCCATGTTTGCAACTGCAAGTTGGTGTCCTCCATCCTGTCCACCCTTTCTCTTCCCCGCATCTCCGTTCTGGCCCCTGACCCCTCTCTCTCTCCATCTCCACCGTCTCCCCCTCCCTCTCAGCATTCTGAAGCTCAGTGTGGCACCTGCCCGTCCTCTGGTTCTGCCCCACAGACTAACAGCGTTTGGCCCAGTCTGCCGGCATCTGGAACTGGGTTCCCTGCATGGCCTGGACAGCCTAGCCAGCCTGCACCATGCTGGACTGGCCAGCCAAATACACCCTGCTGGTCTGGGACACAACCCGTTCCGTACTCTGTACCCGCACCGATTTCATTTCCAGCCCCGGCTCAAACTGTAACACAAGCTGCTGCGCCTGCCATAGCCCCAGCTCCAGCTCCAGCTCAAGTTCCAGCTCTGGCTCCAGCTTCGGTGCAGCCCTGCCAGCCCTGCTGGCCAGGCACCCAGTACCAGCCTCCCCAGCCACCAGCTCAGTACTTGCTTCCACAGCCACCAGCTCAGTACCAGCCTCCCCAGCCACCAGCTCCAATTCAAACTCAAGTCCCTGCTCAAGTTCCAGCTCCAACTCCAGCCCCAGTCCCAGCACCTCCTCCTGCCACGGGCATACATCCAAATGTACCAGGGTGGCCTGCCCACCCCGGTTGGCCTTATAACCCAGGACAGTCAGGATGGCCTGGACAGAGTCCATCTATCATGCCTCCACACTGGCTTCCACCCACATCTGGACCTCTTGTGAGTCAAATGCGAAGAATGTGACTTGCATGCATTGTACAATATTATTTTCTGATGTACAAGAAACACAGAGACTTGATGGATAATGTTTGAACTCTGCTTTACAGTTCAGGTTGTGTTAATGTTTTTCTCTCAACGTTGTTGTTTAGAGTGTGCCATACAACTTGAACCTGGCCCGGGGGGTCTATGACAAGATGATGATGACCATCTTGGGCCATGTCAAACCAAATGCTAAAATGTAAGCTATGTATACTGTGTTTTAAGAAGCCGTCTTTTCCCTATGTACTAATTCTTTCCATTCTATTTAGTTTCAAAATTCATACAAAATGAAGAAAGTGAAAGTCTAACCAACTTTGGTCTTCCACAGGTTCACAGTGAACTTTCTGAGAGGCAACGACATCGCCTTTCACATCAACCCCCGCTTCTGCGAGGGTGGCAAACAGGTGCTGGTCCGTAACCACAAACTGGGTGAACGCTGGGGCTCAGAGGAGAGGGACCTGAAGGGACCCTTCCCCTTCGCTCTCGGGAGCCCATTTGAGGTGAGTGTAAGAAAGAGCAATCAGACAGGGCAGTGGATTGAAAAGCGGTACTTAAAGATGCTATGTGTAGCATGTTAACGTCAATAAATCTACCACATTCATTTGTGTTCATCTGGAGCAAAGTGTCAGTGTCTGCTGCTACTCCACTATTGCTTTACCACACACTGTACAGCACAAATAAAGGACATACAGTAAACAGGAAGCTGCTGATCGTTTTAACCATGGTCTCATTTGCTTGTGGGAAGAATTTCACATTGATATGTTGATGTTTCAAAATGCTACACATGGTGCCTTTAACTGACTCTAGGTCACTCTCTCATGGTTAACGTCAGGCTAACGTTTGGAAAAGATGGAAAGGGTTGGAAAGTCGTTTGTGCAGGCGGGTCCTAGATAAGGGAACTGCTGTACTGCAGGAAGGCTCCTGGAGGTCAGTGGGGGTCTCATGTTGCTCAATAACATCAATAACAGTTATGCTTAACAGGCCTCGCCAAGAGATTACTAATACGAAAAACTAATTCTGTCACAGCGTCTGTGTTCAGTGACAGCAGTAACAACTAGGTTCCTAGCACTTTCCTTCAATCTTATTTTGTGTTTTTCAATTAGTAAAGTTTAATTTTCTGAAACTTGCACTGATCTTAAATCAACTTACTGTATTATACATCATTTTTTTGGTCACTCACGTTAGAGAATTTTGCACCGCAGAGTGACTCTTCCGGATTGAAACCATGATTAAATAAACACTATTTTCTTCCTAGATGTGATGGAAGTAGTACATCATTTGTGTTCTTGTCTCTTCCAGATGAAGATCCTGTGCACTCATGAGGCATTCAGGGTGGCAGTGAACAACATCCCGCTGTTTGAGTTTCGACACCGCATCATAGAGCTCAACCGGATTGACAGAATCAACATCCTGCATGATGTCGTCCTCACCTTTGTCAATGTGGAAACACTTCCATAGGAGACACACTGTAACTCATACAGTAAATTAATTAACACATGACAAGGATGCGTACATGCGGATGAGCAAAAACATATACACACACTACATATGGCAGGAACTAAAATGTTCCAATTTATTTATCATGATGCTTAAAGATCAAACAAATAAGAGTGTTAGTATGTGATGTAATATTAATATTGACATGAGCTGAGCTCATCCTATAATATGCTTCAATAAGTTCACTTCCTCTACCACAAAGCTAACATTTAATACACATAAAGCTTTCTTTTTCAGCACAAATATGCTACTGCTACTGTATTTATTGTGTACAATATTTGATCAAATTGCTACTAACTGAGAATTATATGTACTGCCAACTATGAGGGTTCTGTTAACTGTAGTGATTCCTAAATAAAATGATGAGTCAGAAATCTGGTCCAACGTTTTCATTGTTTATTGTTTTAAGAGAGCTTAAAGACACAGTGCAACAGTTTGAAACTGTATGACAGTAACAAAAGAAAAATCTCTTTCAGAGAAATATAAGATCACAGTAGAACATTCAAATCAGCACTACAAAAACATGCACACATGTACATAAGGAACATAGGCTAACAGAGTAGTCATGATAATACATAAAGCAATGGAAACTGCTTTTAAGATGCAACTACACTTCTCTGCAGTGAGGGAGACACCAGTGGCAGAAAAGTATATAAATTATACAGCTAAAACAAACCATCATACCTTAATATAACCAATTCTACCTTCACATCGTATGTTCACTTCCTCTAACCTCACATGTAAACATGTGTAAACATATCCATCTCTAGATAGTACCCAACAGAACAGTGCAACACTTTGGTCTGGAGCAATCGTCTCTATAACTGGCCAGATATTTATAATTCCCCAAGTAGATATGTCCCCATTGGACCCAAGCATTTAATTCTACAAAAACTTATAGCACAATAGTCATGAAATTTACATTTTCCTGTTTCAGCCCTTTAAACTTGAATATAGCACACAGAATAGAGTATTTTCTAATTAAATTGACATATTTCCAGGAAAATGACTGAGCACATTCTTAGCACCCACAAGCATTAACCTTTCAGATTTGAATAGCTCTATGTTACTTGCTGTAACACTACCCTTAGGACTAATTTTTATATTTTTATTGAATAGAAAAATCATTAGAAGATTGTTAATTCTGTCCATTAATTGTTATATTTCAGAACAGAATAATGGACAGTGCAGCCTCTAGGGGATGCTAATGCGGCTTTAGACTACTTAACCTTTACCAAACATAACCATGTTAACACAATCACTTAAATAGTGCATTTGGTGACCTTTTTGACTACCTGAGCTCTCCATGTAACTACATCATCTTTGTCCTTCTGGTGTCTCCCTTCATAATTATTGTATTTCATTCCTTATGCTTATGAAATTTAATTTTAAGAGCTATGGCAACTTGAAAAATAAGGCAAACCTTTTTTATTCTTTCTTATTTCAGTGCATAATACTCATCATTCATTCCTTTCAGCTTCTCCAATGCATCTCATCTGTATTCATCTCACAAATAAAGTTCCAGAAGAACTCTGTGCAAATAACAAGTTTGAAATTCACAGTGCTACTGTGGCGGCATGTGTCATACAAACTCAACATCACGCAAACATCAGTCCATCTGCTCAAGTCTTGGTATCTAGTCTCCTCTCCACAGACTTCAGCAGCAGCTCAGCGTACTGCTCCAGCAGAGCCAGGGCCTTATCTCCTTCACCTTTGACCTCCTGGTGCACCTGGGGCCCTTCACACTGCGAGGTGGGGTGAGGCAGAGAGTCCAGCTCAGCTTTGACAGTCAACAGGGTCTTGGACAGGATGCTCCTCATTTCTTGTTGATCTTCACTGTGATGTTGGCCAGATTGCAGCACCTGGTTTTATTGAAGACAAACGTGTGAAAAACAGACAGGAACAGGCAGCGAGTGAGACAGGCAGGCAAACAGACGTACAGGCAGTCCGTCAGGGACAGATTAATCGATTGTCAGCATTTCCATTCAACTTAAACAATTAAAGGATTATCAAAATCCGAAAAATCTATGTATGACAATAAAAATGCTAATTTGTACAGATCTCACCACAGACTGCAGCATCCATAGAAGTAACATTAACTGAGTACATTTAAAGAACAGCTGAGATACAAAACATCAACAATATTATTTATCTATATATGCAAATATATAACAATCAAAGGAATATGAGCGTAGCAGCATTAACAGGCATGTAATATGTGAGTAATGATCTCTATCTATTCCCCTTTCATCTTCCCTATCTCTCTATCTTTCTTCCAGATATATTTTCCTTTCTTAACCCCCACATTTCCACCCTTCTCTCTTACACACACACACACACACACACACACACACACACACACACACACACACACACACACACACACAACAACTCTCTCTCTCTCTCTCACTGACCGTAGTGTAGAGCATGACAGTTTTCCTCAGACTGTTGTGAAGCTCACTAACAGCCTGCCTACAAGTTTCCAAGGTGATAGAGTGATCTGCTGAGAGAGAGAGAGAGAGAGAAGAAGAGAGAGAGAGGACTCTTTTAAGTATAGTGCAGCATGTGGAAAATCAGACACACACATACTGTACAGCATATACACACAGACACACAGTTATCGAGCGAAGTAGGCACACAGTGAATGCTGAGCAAAGGGTTGAAGAGCATTAAAAGAAGAACAAGAATAAACTTGGTGGCAGAAAAGAAACAACACACGAGGAGGCTGCTGTACACAGCCAGAGAGCGGGAGCTGTGAAAAATGATTTCACAGTTTATATCCTCCGGCAAAACACAGTTGTAGGTACAAATGTGGACTGGATATCACTTAATGGCATTTATGGTTTCTGTGTTTTCAAATTGAAATGAAAAGAAGTCTGTTGCCTTCGTGAGGCGGTTATCATCCACAAAACAGCAGGCACAGAAGCATGAAGAACAGGATAGAGAAGTTATTTTAAGATTAATTTAACCTTTCTTTACTGAGTAAGTGAGCAATGTAATCTGCAGAGGCTCAGTTAACATAGGCTCTATATATCAAAACATAATCTTAAATAATTGTAATAATTATGTAACATATTTCTTATGAGTTTAATTTAGTTTTCCTTTATACTTCTTCCTATTTTTGCTATTTTTTTTATTGTTTATATTTTATTGCCGAACTGTTATATTCTATTCTTATTTGAATATTTGAATATCTGTTGATATATTGTATATTGTTTTGTTGGAAGTAGTTGCATAGGTTTTGATCAGCATACCACAAAGCTCGTTCAATCATGTTTTTATGGTCTTCGAATTTTTCAGAAATCTCTTATCTCTCTTATCTTTACTTCAGACTGTACAGAACTCAGGGTCACATTGCCACCCTTATGTTTCTCAACTAACAGATCTGAAAATTCACCAAAAGAGTATAATTCAAAACTTCCCATGTCTCTTCATCTATGGACATGTAATGTAAGCAGTATTGACAGCAGGAGGAGGCCACAGAGACAGCTGGAGGAACACGAGACAGACAAGCAGACTCACAGACACGCCAGAAGGCAGAGGGTGAGGAGGGTGAAGAGGTGAAGTGATGAAGAGGAGGAGCAGCAGAGACTGACAGGTTTATAAAAGATTCTTGGGTGGACAGACCTGGTTGGAAGTCAGCACTCGATGTGTGGGTCTGTTCAGGCACCAGAGGGCACTCTTTGGCTACAGCCACCTGTCCTGGCTCCGTGATACTGGGAAGAAAATGTCAGTGTTTAGACTGCAAGAGTAGAATAGAAACATCAAACAGAAATGATTATAGATGTTTGTTATTTTTAAAAACTCATAGCTGAATGTTTCAAAGTGTTGTAAAAATATACCTCTCTGAAACCAAGTCTCTCTTCTGCTTCACTGGTAGTGAACTTGGCAGGGAAGAATCCAAACTTGAATGCCTGACCAGTGCTGAAGACAACAAGATATACACAAAATCACACATGGGAAATCCGCTTTTAAGCTCCTTACTTGTGTCTATCTATGTGTCACATCTATTGTATGTGGCTGGCTGTCTAACCTTGACTTCCTGCAGCAAGTGTAACCTCACATCCAGGGTCTATAGTAGGAGTTAAAGCCCTCACCGGGCTTCCAGAACAACTTGAGCTTGGCATCACCTCCAGGCAGATGCTGCGACGAGGGCCAAGAGGCTGTCTGGGGAGCGGGATGCGAGAGGGCGGGATGTTCTGGGAAAAAGGAGTGGGTGAAACTGTAGCTGTAGGATTGGGAGGAGCTGGGGAGGGACTGTGTGATGGAGGACATGATAAGAGGGATGATGCTGATGAGACAGCAGAGGGGAAAGCCGTGACAAGAGACGAGGTGAGCATGGGAGGGTCAACCTCCAGCTCTCCGCATGAGCTCCTGTTCTTGGGGAGGGAGGGGGAGCACGGTGGAGTGCTCATCTGGATGCCCTCTCCCAGTGAGGAGGAGCGGCTGATTTTGGCCATGGAGCTGGCAGTGGGGTTCATGTAGGTGAGCTGGGGCTTGAGTTTGGGGCTATCCCAGGGGAGGGGGGACTGGGGTGACTGTGGGGAGCCAGAGGAGGGTGAAGAAAAGTGAAAGGAAGGCTTGGGAGTGTCATGATCCAGAAAGAGCTGCTGAGGTCTTTTGCACGACTCCCTTTGGTCACTAGAGGGCACATGTGAGTGAGGAGCTGGAGAAAAAATGTAGAAGAGGACTTGTTTTTGAAATATATATTGAAAAAAGAAGTACATTTAATTATATTGTGTTAAATGAACTGTATGACTGCCAATTCCAGCTAATGATATAAATGTTTGGCATATATTCCAATGCAAATAATGTTTAAATGGATTCTTATGGCAGTTTCACTGTCTCACAATATACACATAATGGAACTAGTGCTCATTGAATAATCTGAGCCAAATATTACAGAAATATATAACAATAAATAAACAAGATTATTTTGAAACGTACAGTCTGAGGCCAGGTTCTGGGTGGAGTGTGATTTCTGTAAACATGTTGCTCTGTCCGACAGCAATGGAGCGTTATATGGAGGGTTTGACAGCCTCCACAGGTGAGACCCTGAAGTCTTCTTCTTCAGGGGACTAAGGCTAGGACCACGGTCACTCCCTGGAGCGTCTTCCCTGCTGAGAGGAAGCACAGCAGCTTTAAAATCACTTCACACAAAATAAGTTACAAAAATGGAGAAAACAAGCCAAAATAAACATGATGTATTTTGATTCTTTTTCTTTTGTGTCTGTGATACATTTTTGGCTACATTCGGGTATATATTAGTCTAAATGATTTGCATGTGCATAATTAGTTATAGTTTCTCTCTTCTTTTGTTTACCCTTATGGATTATTAATCTGTAAGTAACAAGCAGAAACTACAGATTGTAATGTAAACAGGCATACAAATCTCTAAACATTGTAGCCTAGTTTGACCTCAGGAGTCCTCTTTGTCAAGTATGTTTTATATTGCATTCTTGCCATGTGGACTTATTAATGTCTCATAATCATTTGTTTATGCAAATAGTGTAGCTTTTGTGCTTTTTTTGATATATGCATTTATTCATTAATCCAAGTCTGCCAAAGCAGCACTTGCCTAATAAACTCCATGCTGCTCATAATCTGTGTTTGTGTCTTACTTTGGCCCCTTGCTCCTGCCAGGGGACACGGGGGTCTTGTCTTGTGTGTTATCTTCAATCAAGGGTCGTACTTTTGACACGGGGGGCTTAGCAAAGTGGCTACCTGGTTCCTTTCCATGCACTTTGGCAAATGGAGGCATGCTCCTACACAGAGAGAAGGCGTTACAGGGTTAGTGGAGCCGGTGAGTAAAATCCTAAATGTATTTCTCTACAGTAAGTTAATGGAATAGTTTGACATTTGGGGACATGTTCTTTTTAAGTAAACAACTAGCCTGGCAAAAAATTTCTTTACAGATCAAAAATGTTGTGACCTATAGACACAACCTGGCTAACTGTTTCTCTGTGTTTCCAGTCTTTGTGCTAAGCTAAGGCTGTTGGCTGTAGCTTCATTTACTGTACTGTCATGAGAGGGCTATTTTATAAAATATGGGTAATATGTAAGATTGAATGATACAACTGTCATGTCTGTATAATAAATATGTAGCTTCAGCCAGCAGCCGGTTAGCTTAGCTTAGCACAAAGACTGGAGCAGAGGGAAACAGCTATCCTGGTTCCATCTAAACGTAACAAAACCTGCCTACGAGCACCCCTGAATCTCACTCATTAACACGTCCTATCTTATTTGTTTAAATCTGTACAAAGATTGTAGTGTACAACAATTTGGCTCTTTTATGGAGAGTTGTATGCTGGACTGTTTCTTGGCCAGGAACAGTTGCCAGGCAACCAGCAGAGACTCTATGAAGTTACTGGTCATGGTCAAGAAATACTCTTTGGCATAGTACATAAGCCTTCATAAAAATGCAGAATTGTTGTTTTTACACTTCAGTTTTTGTACAGTAGATATAACAAAGTAGATATAACATGTTACTCAGTCAGCTTTACCATACAGGCAGGGTGTGGGGTGGTCTCCATCTTCTCTTCTTTCTCAAAATTTGAAATATTCCTTACATCATACAGTGTTTTACAGTAAAATGTCTCACTGCACATTTATTGTAATATAAATAAAAACGAATAAAAAAAAGGGTAAAAAACAATCATCCTACACACATAAAATTACCCAAACGTGGTTAACAATGCCGTTTCAAACTGACAGCCTGGCTAGATCGGGATGGTACACAGATGGTTTAGCAGAGCAGTGTGCGTGAGTCCACATGGGTTTGTAATTATAGCTGTGATTCCACACTGGTCTGAAGTGGTCAACAGTACCTGTTATTATGTCCTCTGGCCAGGAAGCGTGAAGACATACTGAGCCTAGGGACTCTGCTCTGCTCGGCTGTGGACAGACATAAAGCGTTAGAAAAAAAGAAAAAGAAAATGGAGACAGTGGCAGAGAGAGAAGAAATACACAGAGACCCGGAGAAAAAGAAAGAGAAACCAAAAGCCTAATCAATATTGCTTGCTTATCTACTTGCATGTGAGGTCATTTAAAGGAACAGGTCATGATTATGGGAAATAAACCAATTCATTTTCTAGCAGAGTTAGATGAAGATATATTGCAGCCTTATATCTGTTAAATGAAGCTACAGCCAGGAGTTAACCAACTGGAAACAGGGGGAAACTGTTAGATTAGCTCTGTCCAAAGGGAAAAAATCAACCTCTAAAGCTTAACACATCACATCTTGTTTGTTTAATTTATACAAAGAACTGAAGTATTAAGACAACAAGTGTTTTTTTTCAGGGGTTATTATATGGCGATCTGGCGTTGCCATCGTGAGTTTGCCAGGCCGAGATCCAGGAAGACTTGGTAGGAGGAAGATTCTACCTTTTCAGACAGAGCCAGCTTTTGTTTCCCCCTGCTTATAATCTTTATGCTAAGCTAAGCTAACCATCATCCATCTCATAAGGATGTTATCAATCTCCTCTCAGCAAGACAGAAAATAAGCATTTTCCCAAAACTATTCTATAGAGTTTGGCTTCTCCTACCCGTGCTGCAGCTCTCTGCCAGCATCTCAAAGTTCTGCTTGAGGAAATCTTCTTGGCCGCGGTCAGCAATGCCAGTCACTGTCCTCAGAGCTTCATCCATACTTGTCATTTGCTCCTCTTCCTCCCTCTCTTCATTCTCCTCATCAGAGCTGTCCTGACCCAGGGACTCCACATCTGCACAATCTGAAGGGGCAAAGGAGAAAAGGCACAGCTGAGGCAGAAACCCCAGAAAGAAACCCCTTTCCAAACCCTCCCTGACCTTGGTACATCTACTGCATACAGCAGGTAGGCACCAGATAATCCTTAACAAATGACCAGCCAGAACACTGAGGCTTATGTGGTAGTATTATCTGACATATTTCTATCAAGTCTGAAACTGAAAAAAATCCCAGCCAGTGTGTTCTCAAATCCCTCTCATCAGGTATCAGCTTTACTGTATGTTGCAGAGTTATCATGGCTTATTCATGTACATTTTAGCTTTTCATTTTAAATCCAGCGCTTGAGAAGACAGTTATAACTTGAAAGGCAGATAAAAATTCTAAAATATAGCAATACAGTGTGAAATATATATAAACGTGGTGTGAGTTTGATATCTATTCAAAATTCCTAAGACATTAGTCTCTTCTGTTTTATTCAAGCTATCACACAGCATGCAAGCTGCAGCAAAAAAAAGCCTTCACTGAAAGCCACTGTGTAGACGTTTTGTGTGATTTTAACATGTTAAATTAATAAATGTACTGAATACCTAAAATCATTTTCAGGCAATTTTTTTTTGTGGAAAAACAGTACAAAGAGAATCATCCATTAATGTCTGCCACAGTGTCTTGTGTGATAGTACCACTGGGAGGTGCTAAAGTTGGAAATGTTGAAATTGTTCACATACAAAAGTGGCTTTAAATGCTAATATTATTTTTTTGTGATTTATTTCTTTTAAAGTAAATGATTAAATGAATTGTCAGTCATAATTGTGTATTGCTTTAACTTTATTGCTGTCATCAGAGTAAGACCTCACCATCAGGGACACGATCTGGGCTGGACTCCCTGCTGTTGTAACCCAGAGAGCAAGCACTGTCCGGGCTGCGGCTTTCCTGGCTCTCACTGCGGATCCCTCGCCCTTGCATCCTGCAATGCTGCTCCTTCACCATGTAATCACTGACGTACGTAAAACAGAGAGAGGCGGAAACAATGAGGAGCAGGGGCGGAGGGAAAACATTAAACTAAGAATAGAAAAGCACTTTTGTTCTCTTCCAGTGTCATTGTGATCGCTTGAATAAAACCAGGTGTAGTGAGCAGGGCTTTACCTGCCCTGCAGACTTGTATCGTCCTGGTTCTCCTCGGGGTACAACACGGCTCCATCAGTCCCCCTGATGCCCTTGGATGGGTGTGAGGACAGCCAATCAGCTTGTGGCCAGAGCCGATGCCTCTTGGCTCTCTCCTCCAGCTGCAAAAAATTAACATAAGTGACTTAGCAGTGCAATTACACACACAAATCTATGGACAGCTCCCTCTTCGTCTCTCTCTAGACTCATGCATACCATCGGCTCATGGAGGCTAGATGTGCTCTGTCTCTCTCTGTCATGAGGGGGGCAGGTAGAGTTTTTCTTGTGGGCAAAGGTCTCCAGCTGCCTCAGGTCTAGCATGGATTTAACCATCACCTCCAGGGAGCCCATACGATGAGACCAGCGCCTCCGAGGCCGCTTAGAGGAGTCAGGAGTGACCTGGCTGATGACTCCATGCTAGAAATAACAAACAGGAGACAACAAGTTAACGCAGTGAACCATGATTTAGATTATAAAAGACATGAATGAAAAATAACATACAGCAGTTCTGGAAATTAGAGTTGACAAGTATTAAAAGTGCCAATTTCCCTCCAGATGCACACATCTCAGATAAGGTTGTATGATCTAGTTTTTAGTGCCCCCACTCTGGCAGCGTATTTCGGAATGGATTTCACATTGCTTTTTATCACTTTTAAGACTCAGCGGGAGGGTATTTTCCCTCTGGTACATCACAGAGGATTTAATCTCATGTGTGGTAGATTCTTAAGTCCTTCTGAAGTACTGACAGACAAAAAAAAGAGGTAGTCGACTGGAGCATTAGCTGAACTGTTCATCAGTTGTCCAGACTACATATCTGTAAAAAATCTGAATTAAGATTATGAATTAAAATCTTTTATATTTATATATACATATATATATACACCTTTTTGTCAGAACCAGCATTAACTGTTTCAGCAGTTTGAGCTACAGTAGCTCGTCCGTTGGACTGGACCACAGGGGCCAGCCTTCATTCCCCACATGCATCACTGAGCCTTGGTTGCCCATGACCCTGTCTCCGGTTCACCGCTTTTCCTTTCTTGGACCACTTTTGATAGGTACTGACCACTGCAGACCGGGAACACCCCACAAGAGCTGCAGTTTTAGAGATGCTCTGACCCAGTCGTCTAGACATCACAATGTGGCCCTCAAATTGCTCAAATCCTCACACTGCCCATTTTTTCTGATTCTAACGCGTTAGCTCTAAGGACAAAATGTTCACTTGCTGCCTGATATATCCCACATACCAATATAGGTGCCATTATAACCAGATAATCAGTGTTATTCACCTGTCAATGCTCATAATACACAGACAAAATAAAAATATTATATACTGCATTCAAAACATAGTATAAAGAACATCTATGCCATACCTTGAGATTAAAATAATATTTTATCATGAAATTGTTAAAGATTTTTATTGGAATTTAGAAAAAATGTTTCCCGTTATTTTCTATAGGAATAACAACATGCAAATATAGTGGAATGGTTTTATTCACATTTAATATTTCTAATACAAAAGCATTAAAAATTATATTTTTTAGTTCATTTAAAGTGATAACACTCTTCACATTAAATATAATCACCAACCTTTTTCAGCTCCCAGTCCTGTCCTTCATCTGAGCCACCTGTTGTATGAAAGAGCACGATAATCAGAAGCTTCAAAATAATTAAATACTTGTTTGATCTCTGAATTGTTTCTTTCAAAAGCTGTCCTCCACAGAAAGTATATAGGTCAGGATTACTACAGATAGCTGACTCTCCAACACAGGTGGTTACACCCAAAAAGCAGACATGTAGTCACTATTACAGGGTTCTAATTCCTAATTTCCTTGATAAACACCTGGATTAAAGTCAGCACTGTGATCTACTTCAGTTCATAATCAGACGGTACCTGTGTCCTCCTCTCCATGGCTGCTGTCAGAGGAGGTATTGATTGTGATGTCCTCTGGATCATTGGGGTCGTCATTCTCTGCTCCGTCCTCCTCGGGCTCACGGTCACTGTCAAAGGACAGACCACCCAGAGTGGGGGCACTGTACACCTCTCGCCTGGAGTAACACAATCAGGCAAAATAATGAGCGCTCTGTGAGGAGTTTATGGGATGAATGTAATCAATGAAAGTTCCTTTGGAGTTGAAGGTGGTGTTTGTGTGTGTGTGTGTGTGTGTGTGTGTGTGTGTGTGTGTGTGTGTGTGTGTGTGTGTGTGTGTGTGTGTGTGTCGTCACCTGAGACTGGAGGTCTTGCAGGGTTGTGTGTTCAGGTTTTGTCGGAGCTGGCAGAGCCTCTCTCTCATGCTGATTGTCAGCTCTGGAGCCAGTCGCCACACAAAGATACAGCTGGGAGATAAAAGCATTTGGGCATTAAAAATTCAACATTTCATTCCAGTTTGACTATTGAGGAAACTGTCAGCAAACACATTTCCCCGCTCATTTTCTCTGGCAGCAGAGGCTGAAGATGATTTCAATTTGGGTGCTGCTCCAATCCAGGTTTTCTCTAGTATTTTTATTCTATTAATATTTGGATATCTCATTGTTGTTATAGCTCTGATTATAAATATAGAACTAATACGCCTTTTCTGTGAATCCATGCACTGGATTGTTTCTCACCTGTCCCCTGACACAGAAATCAAATGCTTGCAGTCGTTGGTAAACTTCATCCCAGTGACAATCTCTGCAAAACAAAAAACATGGCAAAGTTAGTCATATTATGCTCCCTGGCAATGTAAGGTGATAGATAAAGTTCCCTACTGCTTCAAAAGTGTCATTTATTCACATCTCAGTTTGACATCATTAAATATGTGTATGTGAGGTTTAGGTGTGGGTTCTGTTACCAGAGTGTCCAAACATAGTGGCGACACACTCCCCAGTGTAGAAGTCAAAGATGCTGATGTTTTTATCGGAGCAGCTGGTGGCCACGTATTGACCTGACGGATCAAGCTGGACCTGCGAGGACAAAAGAGTTCTATAGTCAACGGACAGAATATATAGGAAGGGAAAGGTATTTATAGTGAGGTCTGTGGAGGGAAATGTTACCCTGAGCAGACTGCCATCCTCACTGAGTGATCCTTTGTAGACTTTCTTCTGTTTGCCACTGCTGATGTTGAAAATCCTGCAGTCAGGAAAGGGGAAAAAAAGTCATAAATAAAAAAAGAGTTTCTTCCATGATTTCCTTCTAATTTCTAACCCCATCAATCTTCAAAAACATGTGCCCACATGCTCACCTGATGCAGCGGTCCTGACAGCCAACAGCAGCGTACTTGCAGGTGGCGTCCACACTCATGTCGTACAGGGTGGTCTTCCTCACCATGTGGTGGGAACGCCTGAACTCTGTCCCTCTGTCAGTCTACAAAACAAGAATAAACATTGTCATGTCTGTGCTGAGGAGGAAGGCTGCTGTAGCTTTTAGTATTAGATTGGAAGAAACTTAGGGAAAGTGATTAAAAGATACAAACTAAAAATCAGCATTTGAAACACAACCAACGCTATAAAAGTCACATAAGCTGATATCTTCCATCTGCCTATTTGAATTGGTGCACAGTTGGTCTACTGGGTGTACCCTTCTGTTTCAGCATCTTCATGGATTCCCATTAAAATAATTAAAATGATTAACATTACAACTTAACCTTACAGCTCACTGATGGTTATCGTTATGCTTAATGACCCACTTAGGGAATATAATTTGATTACAACTAACAATTGACCTGACTGTGCAGTAAGTAAAGCTGACGAGACCTGACCTTTACATTCTGCATGTTTGTCCCTTATTTTCTGTCTCTGTTTCTAAAGTATTGCATGTATGTATACATAACATAGAAAGCTAAACAGATGCTGCAGTGGATACATGCATTTGTACTGTCTGGAAAGAAAGTAGCAAAGTTAACCTATGCATTCAGAGCTGAAAGCTGCAAGGATCGGTTTGAATCAATATCAATATGTGTAATTTAAAAGTTGGATTATACACATAGTTGATATGCTTAAAACCGCATGAACGTATTTGCCTCAGTTAAAGTCTGGCAGAATAAATATGCCTGGCAAAGATCCAATGTGAGTTAAAATAAGTCATATCATTTTTGAAGTTTAGTCTACAGAAACTCAGTGCATCCAATCATTCAGAAAAGACTATTACCGTTCATTCAGAACAGTTGAAAACACAGATAATGATAACAGACAGCATAGAGGATGCTCATTTACGTTCTGCGGGGAGCACAAACCTGTCACAACAAGTTTCTACAATGAATACTCCATAAATGTCTGGATCTTGGGGAGAAGTTTTACTGAAAACTAACAAGCCATTGTTTATTGTGCTTCACAATGTTCATGAGTCACTGCAGTGGCCTGAATCGTGTCTTAAGTTTAACAAGAATGCAGTAACTTATGCAACTCCGACCGAACAGAAAACGGTCCCAGAAACCCAGAAGCAGTCCTTTTTATTACATTTCGTTATACAACTTGCAGCCCATATGCTCCTTTTGTGGTTCATGCTGTAGAGTTTTATTCACAAACAGAAGCTAAAAGATTGCGTTACTGTTGTGCTGCACAATGAGTCCTTAATGTGAGGAATTAATGAACAATTTGAGCCAAAAGCAATGAAGCAGCAAATAATGCTGAACCAAGATTAGCTCCTTATTGTGTCTTTTATGGCCAGAAAGAATTATGAGATTATTTTGGGAAATATTTTTTGCTGTAGCAAGTTACTCTGCTGTTTAATCAGAGTCAGAAGAAACCAGTCATTTTACAGTGATTTTAAAATTGCTTTTAATATTGCTTTTATAAAATACTGAGCAAAATAAAGCAGTAACAATGAATATATATGAAAATTCATATGAATAGTTATTTTTGAAAATATGTTGAATCACTTTCTTGTCAAGAGTTGGATGAAAAGATCAATATCACTTATGTGTCTGTAGTACGGCAAATATGTAGCTGGAGCCAGCAGATGGCTAGCTTAGCTTAGCACAAAGACTGGAAACAGGGGGAACAGCTAGCCTGGCTAGCTACATGTCATTTTTACATTTTGTTTTTTGTACAGAATAAACAAACAAGAGGTAACTATCAATTAGTGAGTTTTAAAGGTGCTAGTAGGCGGATTGATTTTGTTTCCCTCCGTTTTCAGTCCTTGTGCTAAGCTAAATATGTTCTGTACGGACAGATTGAGAGTGGCATCAATCTTCTCATCAAACTCTCAGCAAAAAAAGCTAATCATCAGTATTACATAAAATATAGTTATAGTTTAGGTATATGATTGTGATTTTCAGTTGGTGCATTCATATTTTCATAGTCACTTATGCACATTTCTGTGTTTACTGGATATTCTATAACCGATTCCACCTGTGGAAAGATGCATGCTTGATGATGGGAGCTGGTGGATTGAATCTTGATCTGACATGTCTTACCTTGTATGCAGTGCGGAAATAGATGCTCTTGTCTGCTCCACAGCTGATCATCCTCACCTTGTTGTCATTGGCTGAAGAACAAAGACCATTTTTCAGTGATGACTATTTTGAACTTTACAAAAATTAGTTATTAAGGCCTGTAGGCAATGCCAAAAATATGCTAGTCTTCACCAGTCAGCTACAAACTAGTATTTTCAAAAGAATTCACAATCTAAAGAAAACCCAGACTAAATAAATTAATAAAATTCAAAATCAAAGAGAAGAAAAGGCTTTGCTTATAACAAACAGAGCTCTACCTGACTACATATATATATAGTTGTCGTCTATTATTTAAACAAGCAGTGCTGCAAGTGAAATAAAGGAGGGACTTTGTGTGGGACTGAATGGAGATGAAAGCTTGGATTAAGAAAAGATTAGCTGTCAGATGTTGAAATCGTCTCAAGTGGCTCACCAGCAAAGCGGACGGCTGTTATGGATGAAGAGTGCTCGTCGAGTGTCTGCACCAGACTGTAGTCGTCCCCAGCATCCAAGACATGGATCAGACGGTCCCTGCTAGCTGTGGCCAGCAGCTTCAGACCTGACAGTAATAAGGCAGCTTAATCACATATCGCATAAACAATGCACATATATTCTTCAAGCATGATCACTGACAAATACACACACACATACACACACACACACACACACACACACACACACACACACACACACACACACACACACACACACACACACTGACCAGTTTCTGGTTTACTGTATTCAAGACAGAGGATCTCAGCATCATGTGCCTCCACTTTGAGAATCTCCTCCATGCTGCAGAGGTCATGAACCCTGCAGAATATAAATTCACATTTTTCAGCATAGAGGCCACCTCAGTCAGTCAGTCATCACTCTCAATTTATGCCTTCTTGTCCTACCTCAGCATCCCGTTGCGATCCCCAGATGCCAGGTGTTTGCCGTCTGGACTGACACAGATGGTCCGGATGCCCGTCTTGCTTTCTGCTGCCTGTCCGTCCCCTGGTTTCTCTGCATTCGCATTATTTGTACATTCTTGATCCAGCAAGGCACTAGTGTTTCCATCTATGTGAATTATATTCAGGAGATCCTGCAAATCAATGGGGAATAGAGAAATCAGCAAATCCCATCAAAGGGAGAATTTGGACTTCTGAATTGTCAATAAAAAAATGTTGTACCACATTAAGACATGCAGCATGTGTGAAGTCAAACTTACACTGCTGAGGATGTTCTGAGAATGTGTCCAATCGTTCATGTGCCACAGTCTGATGGTGTTATCAGCCGAGCAAGTAAGGAATGCACCTGATGACAGCCCAGCACCCAGCTCCCCAGGAACATCTGGGAACATCTGAGGAAGGGCAGGAGAATAGGTGTTTAGTTGGGTGGAGGTTCAGCCAATTATTCATTATTAATTAATTATTAATTATAGTCAGAATCACTGCTTAAAAGATATCTATAATGCAGTTTTACAATAAAGTATGAATTGCATTTTTTGCTAATAATTAGCAAGTTAAAAACTGACACACACAAGTATAATAATATATACCCTATTTAATGTAATAAAGTGACAAAATCTAATAACATTATCCATTATTGTTTCACAAACTGGTCCGCGTTCACTAGCCTTATCAACGGCCCAATTTTGGCATCAAAGTGGTATTGATTAATCCCCCTATGTTTTCCGAATCAGTAGTCTAATCAATGCCCAACATTCAATCCACTGTATAAATATTAACTACACACTGAATCAGGGGCTGGTTTGAGACGTGTCAACATGCTTAAAGAAGTGTGTATCATTCACTTTCTCCTTCCTGTTTACCTCCAGGTCCCCGACACTGGCAGCATGGAAGAGGGCAGAGTGCACCTTCCCCACCCTGTTGACATCTCTCACATCCCACACATACAAACTGTGGTCATTATACACACAGCTGAGCCAGTGGCTGATGGGGTCGTAGGTAACAGCGATGGTGTCTGGGTAACGGGCGTCTGTCTTAGTGGAAAATAGGTGGCTGAAAAGAGATTGGGACACATTTTTAAAGATCATGGAATAACAGCAACAGATGTTTTCTAAAAAATAGTACATTTTGATCAGGGGCGTGTGAGGCCTACTGGGGCTGAGCTGTGTTTGTGGGCCTTCTTCCTCAGTTACTAGATAATATATCAGTAATACTGTTCATAAACACAGTGTAAAAATTGCTAAAAGTATGTCTAATGAATCATAGAAAATCAGAACACTGGTTCACAATTTATAATTTTAAGCCCTGTATAATATGTATTTCATATCACTTATATAGTAACTTATAGTTTTGCTTTGTTGTATTTACACCTGGTAGCGTAAATATCTTTCATTTATCATACAATAGCCTTTTGTAGCTGTTCAACTGTAAGTTTATGATATTTTTCTCATATGATACCAATCTAATATTATGTGATAGTCTATGCATTCAGTTCAGAGTCTCTCCAGATAACAGAGAGGAGATTTGTGTGCTAGTACTGGCTAACCTGCCAACAACACAAAAAACACTTCACAAAAAAGCTTCTCTGCCTTAAAGTGTGCACCTGATTTTTTTATCGATTTTGCAATAGCTCAGCCTTTGTAGACTGTACAACAGTGTCCCTGGAAAAATAAATTGCACTCATTCAAAATAAGACACAGATTTATGTAAAATGTACAGTATTTCTGTAATGTAATGTAATGTAATGTAAATAACTAAATCAAGCATTTTTGAAAAATCTTTTCACCCAGTGTTTTATGATCTAGAAGACTAAATTACCACCAAGTCCACCAAAACACAAAGGCAAAACTATGGTCAGGGGACCCCTTTGGGGGTACCAGACAGACAACACTGCAGGAACAACAGAGTGCAGAATAGAGGGGTAGAGACAAACAGCAGATGAATAACCCACTGCATGATATAAAATCAGATTTTTAAATATATTTTAAGCCTGTAAAATTATGATAGAATACTGATAATTACAGTTATATTGGCTTTAAAAAAAGGAATGAAGCTGCTTTATAGGGCCATTATCGACTTGAAATAAGAAACATTAAGAAGTTATTGAGAGAGTGAAATAGTGCCACTTGAGACAGGACACACTATAAATAGAGAGCAATTGATCCTGCAGTGGATCCCTGCCAAGGAAAGGCTGTGTTACTCCTGAGCTTTTTTCTCACCTGGCCTCTCTGGCGGCCGAGATGTCAGAGCCGAGGGGGTGCGGCAACGGCAGGGTGCAGACAAAGTGCAGGTCAACAGAGCTGAAGGCTCGCACCGTTCCATCCGCACATCCACAGAAGATGGTATCTTCAGACAGAGACAGAGACTGGGCCACGCCCGTCTGCAAGACAAGACACGAAAGGCACATCAGCTCATTTCACAGCTCTATCACTCACAGATGCAAATAGAATCAATTATAATGAAGTGGAGGTGAGTCCACAACAGTCCTGCCTGTCACTAATGATTGCAGTGCGTCCTTATTGGAATACTTCCCAACACATCCTGTACTTGTCCTCGTCCCTGTTGCTAATCCCTCTTTGATCCTCTGACAGAAGGCAGGAGCAGGACCCACACACCTTCATCTTCACCTCTTGATTAAACACCACAGCTGGATGCTAACCATATGCACTACTGGTGGTACAGCACTCACTAATGGATACATAAACATACTGTATATTTAACACTGGTAAAGGTAAATAAGACGAGTGAAATGTCCCATTAATGATGCAGATGCTTCATAAAAAACCAGCATTGCAGCATTTAGGGCCTTTCAAAGTAACAAATCTGATCTTCTGCAATTAATGATTAATGAGTTAGTTTTTAACCCTCGTCAATGTCAATCTTAAAGGAATAGCCAGCAAAAAAGGGTTGTTCTGAAGATAGAAAAGGGACTTCAACTCCAATAACTACTGAAGCAAAGCATGATTGGCACAAACTTTAAACATTTTAAAACATAAAAAAACGAGTGTATTTTTTAAAGACATATTTCAGCATTTGTATAAGTATGCTTATTTACTATTTAAGATCAATACCACTCATATCAGTGTGTTAAATATACTACAGCCAAAGACAGGGCTAGCAGCTAGCCTGGCCGGTCAAAAAAGGTACAAAAAAAAAATCAAAAATACCGGTTCCCATAAAACCACAACAAATAATAATTTAAATAATACATAATCCTATTACATTTTAATGAATCTTTATTTCAGAGATATCACCTTTGTGGTTGAAATACAGTAATGAACGTTAGCACCCACATTAGGTGGAATGAGACAAATCAATACCTCGTTGAATAATTGATTACATTTAAAAGTAGTGGTAGCTAAAGAGCCCAAACAATGTCAGTGTTGGATACTTCCTGTGTGTCACTCACCCGTAGGTCCACCCACTTGTCCAGCATCCTCTTGCTGTTAAACTCACACAGCAGGCCAGAGGAGGTGATGCAGAAGGTGGAGTCAGATGTAGAGCCTTGTCCACAGGCCACATCACAGAAGAAGTTGTTCCTCAGCTCTCCCAGAAGCCCTGAGCGGCCCAGCAGAGGAACAGGAGCACTGGCCTAAATACCGCAGAGGGGTGAGGGTTAGTTCAGACTGGAGTGCTTAAAGCAGAATAGTGGTTACAGCTACTATTTCAGCTTATGTCGACATTTCCATCTCAAGTCTTTTGAAATGTGTGCAATTGTATGTTTTATTTGTATTATTTCCAAAGTAGAAATTTATGGTGTGAAAGCTATCAAAGGTTTTTTTTAATTGAATACGCAGTAAGCAGTTGTGAAGGAAACTGTGTAAAGCTCACTGATGTGAACACACTCAGCTCTGGAACGGTGAAAGAGGAAGTATGACAAAACCAAACTCCCAGTTAACTGTGATAGTTTTCAGGTTAACAATTTTCAAGGAGATGACCTTTTTTCATACTGTGTCAAAATGCTTGCTTCTAAAATCCAAGCAGCACTAAAGCAAAAGGAAGCCTGCAACTTCTTTTTCAACGTATTAATATACCCAACATTGTCCTTTAATACCTTGCTGGCCTTGCCGTGGTCTAGATACCAGAACTTGACATGTCTGTTCCCCACAGTGACAAAGTAGGAGCTGTCCTCAGAGAAAGACACACCTGTCACCTTACTGGACACCTTGTTGGCAGCCACTACTACATCTTTCTGCAAGGGAACAACACAACAATACAAGTTAGAATTATTGCCTTCTTAGAGCGCAAGCACATTGAGATTTTCTACTACAAAATGTCTGGGCAGATCCAGGAGTTTGCTTCTGTTTCCAGTCTTCATGCTATGCCAACCAGCTGCTGAGATTGGTATTAATCATAAACTTCATAGTGAGCCAAACCTTCCACGCCCAGACGTTGACCATCATGTCGTGCTGGTTTCCCACACTGACGATGTATTTGCTGTTGGGGGAGAAAGCCACGCAGGAGACGCCATATTTGTGTGTCTGAAGCTCCGCCACCTGTCTACGTTCTGCCACGTCCCACAGTCGGACAGCTGGAAGGTGACCGCTCTGGTGAAAAGGAAAGAGGGTTGTGGATGGGAGAGGGAGTAACAGGGTTAATTAAGAGAGAACAGTCCATCGTTATTAAAGAAAGGGCTCATTCTGATGTCTCAGCGCTGTATCGTGACCAGGTTTTTTTTGTCATCAATCTGTAAATCCACTGGATCAGGCAACACATCGTAGTCACCTGTCAGTTCAGTCTCTCCAGCTCTCTAAGAGATAATCCTCTCACTCACTCACTGTATAGTTACTTGTCCTTCGACCTGTTCACATAATTCTCTCTCGAAGATCAGAAGGTCCTCAGGCTATTTGTGTAGTCTCTTATTTTAATATGGTAGAATGACCTTTCAAAGGTCAGAGTTAGTAGGTGAGAGAAGAGGCAGCCTGAAGGACGCTGCAGATGGATGACATTCAACTTAGGAATGAGCTGCATACAAAGGAGACTGAAGGAAAAAAGAAAGAGAAATAAAAAAGACATGCACGTCTGTTGCCGGCCTGTCCTTGATGTTAATTAGCTTCTGTTTGGTGAATGAGTGTGTGTGAGGGAGATATCTTGTAAGAGTATGCATCGCGAATATTTTAAACTCTTCTCTTCTTTCAAGGCTCTCAGCTTTGATCACAGAAACAAAACAGGTAAACAGAGAACATAATAATTCTGGTTGCTGACTATAATACAGTTGGTTTGGAAGACTGACCTGCAAACGTGTATACATTTAGTGGTTTAATAAGAAAATCAGCATTTGGTTTCTTTTAAATGGCAGCAGAACAGGCGATTCTCATAGTATTTGGTCTTTTGAACTTTGGTCTCTGCCGTCATGGCAACTACTCATCCACTTACACAGGGAAGTCTTTAATCGGCTTGGATTGGCTTGGGGCGGATTAAGATAGTGTGTTGTGTTGAGGCGCACACTGCAACTACAACATAACTGCAGATGCTTGAGAACTTTACAGTCCTGGGCCCCATTACTATAGGCCTACATCCTGCTGGGATGTTCTCAATGAAACTGTACAGCTGCAGCCTAGAAGGATCCAATTGGCTAAACACACTAGTTCTATGGGATTATGAACCTGATGAAGGATAATGGGAAGAAAGCCTGGACAAGGAAAAAGGAGGTGAAAAAAAAGACAACTGTAGAGCCAAAGAATAAGGCAGGTTGACAATATAAGACTCACCTCTCCTGTGACCAAGTACTTGCCATCAGGGGAGAAAGACAGAGCTGTGATGGTCTTTCTGTGAAAAATGAGATAAATAGAGAAAGACAGCTCAGAGTGAGTCATGTAGTTTTTACAGTTTATTGTTGCCCTGTTTAAATGCAGATTGTACTCGTGTTCAACTCACCTTGACGTGATAATGTGATGCTGTCTGTTCTTTTTGGGGTTCAGGAGGACGACCACACACCTACACAAGGAACGATATTATCAACATTCACCATACGAGTTATGTTTGCATACATACCTCAACTGAAAACATGTACTCCTAGTACTGAGGTAATAGTTTTGTGTAAGTGGAAAATTTCCATTGCCAACATTCAAGTGTTTTTGTGTCTATTTAGTCAAGGTGTTTGCAAGAAATGCAAACACTTGTCCAACACGTTTTCAGATCAGCAAATTAATAATTGAACTCTCTTTTCACATTGCATACTTGCAGCAAAGCTTACAGATGCTTACTGATTAGACACTATGGCCTTATAAACATCTAGACTCTGATGTAACACAGGAATTCATATAGCATTACTCTAATAGCAACTAATATGCTGAGAGTTAAGCCAAAGTTTATTAATCTCAGTTGATCTGCAATTGAACTTTATTCTGTGACCTGTTTAAATATTTTCATGAAGATTACTTACATCAAGAAATACAATAACGCAGTTCTCTTTCATGCATTTACTCTTCTGGGCACTCATTTCATAATATATTTATTAACTCTGAACACACTGAAGCACTGATTTAAAGCTGGGTCATATTAAGGTTGTAGCAGGTTGTAGTCATAAAGTAGCATGAGGCAACGTAGCGTCACAGTCACCAAAATGCATGTGACCATATTTCAGGTGCACCAGTGGAAAAAAAATTACAATTATTTAATATTTCAAAAGGGACAAACTCTTCTTAACTTTCTTGCCGAGGGTTAAATGAAAGAACTGATGCCACTCCGATGTATTGGTGCTAAATATAAACCGACAGTGGGTTAGTTTAGCTAACATAAAGACTTGTAACAGGAGGAAACAGCTAGCCTTGCCCTGTCCAAAAGTAACAACATTCACCTAATATGACACAATAATACCAACAGGATATAATGTGAGCTTTAGAGGGTGCTGCTAGGTGGATTCTATTACGTTTGAACAGAGAAAGGCTAACCGTTTCCCTGTTTACAACTTTTATGCTAAGCTAAGCTGATCATCTTCTGGTGGGTCAATTTTACCACACAGACAGACAATGTATTTCCCCAAAAACTAAACTTTTAAGGAGAATAATCTGAAAAATGACTACAAAATATGAAATACAAACTGCATGGAAAGGAGGAAATAAACTCTCATTGGTACTAAACATATCATTACCCACCTTTGTATCAGTGTTTTGATTGGTGGGGATTCCAATGCTACAAAGTAAAAGTCCTGTCTTGCGTCATGAAGTGTTTATGTTATATACTGTCTGTCCCCTGTGATCCATCCACCTTTCATTCTTTTCCATATTTAAATAATACAACCACAACCATATTGTTTCCTGCTAACTTCCTCTTGACTTCCTTTTTAAGAGCGGCACAAAGACCAATGATCCACCTGTTTGTGAGCGGTTCTTTAGCTCCGTGCCAGGAAACTGGGCTCCTGGTACCACAGCTTGTGCAGATTTAAACTGAGACAACAGGTGGATTTCCAGACTGTGCACAATTTTGGAAGTATAAAGCTTGCAAAATGACAGTCAGACCCAGACATGCACACATACACACAACTACACGCCCACATATGTGCACAGGAATGCCTGCACACACACACAGACGTTGCGTTCTCTCTCACAGACACACAATGGCAAACACACACTCCTTGACAAAACAATACACTAAACAGCCATTGACCTTCTTAGTATTAATACAGCTTTGTCAGAAGATTTGAGAACAACACAAAAGAGGCTCAGTTCGCTGGGTGCTGCAGCTCTGGCCCCCGAAGCATCGCCACTGTAGATCTAAATCCTCCACTGTGCAGATTTTTGAAAAATATAAAAAATTGCACTGAGCAAGATGACACAACCAGGGTCACTGTTTGCACAGAATGAACAATACTACACAACTCTCTTTACATCACTGCATCACAGAGAGATCCTCCCTGAGGATGGAATAAAAAGAAGCTTTGGAGTTTCACTGACGAGAAAGCCCACAGAGCTCTCCTCCTCACTTCCTGTGAGATTGTGCAAAGATAACACACACAGAAATTTGCACACTGAGCATCTGCATGAGGTAGATATGATAAGGAAGTTGCAAGTGCATGGACTGTTAATAAGTCAAAGGTCAGACGTTGAGATATGGACGCTTACCCTGCAGGATAGGCCACTAGTCCAGATCGGGGGTCACAGGCCAGACCGCTGTTTCCTGAAGCGGTGATTCCAAGCACCTTCTCCAAAGTCACCTGGAGAGAGGCAAAGCTTGGATTTTTTTTTTTGTGTTGCTTGTTTGAGGATTTCCTCACAGAGAGAAGTGAAAATAGAGCTGACAGACACAGGGATAAATGCTGAGCTCAGACCAGCAGTGATGTAACTAAGCACCATCGTCAATGAATCAAAGACAGAAATAGATTGGTATGGTTAAAACATGTGAAGATGAAGGTTCAACTAATGCCTCCACTCAGTAGTTCTGCTGTTTCCAGTGTTTCCAGAAAACACTAACTTTCATTTCATTTTTAAGATACAAAAAAAAACAAATTATAACAATTATCTCCCTGGAGTGTGATTATTCCGACATGTGACCAGATCTAAAATATTAGTGATTTATAAGATGCAGGCCTGCATTTGCTCTATGTCTACTTCTTTCCTCTGTGATATATTATTCCATTGCATTGACGAGGTTCACGTGCAGCAGAGGTTTGTTGTCTTCGTCCCAAACATCAAACGACAAGCTTGAAACCAAAATATATTATATGTAATAGAATTATTTCATCTTTTGGGTATAAGAGACGGAAAAGATCAGATTTAACCCAGTTATTAAACTGTAGACGTGACAGAAGGCGAGTCCTGCTGTCTGGCTGTCATGGGAATTATAAAGCAGCTGTGAGGTGTCATTGATTAGCCTGGACTGAGTAAAATGGTGTCACGTGTGAAATATATTTCTAGTTTGTAGGCCCCTTTTATTAAACAGCTTAATAAATTATTTACTAGCTTTAATATATTAGTTATAAACCATTCTTAAGAACAAGTTGTGGGTTGTGAATAACCCCATTTACTAGTGTCTATACTTTCTATTTGGTAATAATGCATATATAAATGTTAGTTATCCATTAATAAATGCTTAATAAAGTTGTTAATGAATAGATTTTCGGTCCAAACTGTCCACTTAAAACACTTTTTTCACATATCTCTGAAGCATAAGTAAATAATGTATTAATATTAATAAAGCCATTAGTTATATACACCCTTTATTGAGGGAGCCTTGTTATTCAGGTATCCTGTTGTACCTGTAGCATTGTCTACATGCTCCCTATGATAATTCATGCAAAATATCTACGGTAGATTTCTATTACACTACAAATACAAGTGCAGCCTAGATCATTCTCTAATCATGAAGTTGTTTTACTCAGACATTAAAGCTGTTCTACTTTAAAGAGGGATTGATGTCAAACATACCTTGCTGGAGAGACTCTCCGTCCTGTTCTTCTTGTGCTTGGCTGAGGGAGAACGCAGCAACTTCCTGATGCGACTTTTAATGGTGAATCCATCTCCTGGCATTGTGTTTGCGGCTCTGTGGCAGTGCTCTGTGAACTGCTGACCGTCCGCTGTGACAAGCCACCAGCAGCCGAGTGTGCATGCAGCAGGCTGAGGAAGGAGAATGAGCGCCTGTAATGATCCTCCCACCACCGGAGACTTACTACAGAGGTTTACAAAGTCGGACAGTGTCCCCGCTGCTGGGACATGTGGACGTTAATCTCTTGAGTGGGTTTACTGTTCTGCAGTCTTCTGTCGCTTCACATCAAGGGCTTCTCCTGCAGCTACCCACCACTTCTGGACTGATGTCGCCTTGTCTCAGAACTGCAAATTGCACCGACAAGAGTGGGAAAAAATCAACCTCTCTTAAACTGTTTGCCTGCCTGACATCACCAGTTTAATCTGCACTGGTCTCATGATTACATCAATGATTGCTTTTGTTGCTGTTGAACCTAATTGATTTGATAGGATTAGAAAAAGACAGGCCCTGAGGCTGAATGGCGGATGTTTGGGTACTATAACTTTTTGTTTGGCTGCTGATTGGGCGATAAAAGCTATACTTCAGACGCATTAAGGCCCATTTGTTCTTTTATATGCTCAAGTTAAAGTATATATCTGAGGTTTACAATACCTCATATAATGTTCAAAGAAATAATATATATTGTCTATTATTCATTATCATCTGAAGTCAGGTTGGGACATTATTTACACTGTGATGAGTTTAACGCATACTATTTTTTGCGTTGGACCACGTGGTTTCCACGGATAAACTTCCGTCAGAATAGACCACGCCCCGCGATGACACCGGACCAATCACAATCGAGATATATAAACCTAGACGTTTATCACAAACGTTCATTTACTCCCAGTACATTTAATGCCATCTAATTCACCATCCACTCCCATTCTGGCTCTGGAGCTAACATAAAAGGTGGAGGACAAAATATTAATATGACTTAAAATTATGAAGATGATTTATTATTATAATGATGAAGGTGGTTAGCCTATACTACACTCTCACACACAAGGCTTCAGCAGTCTGAAAAACTCAGATCAAGTGGACATCTTCCAAAGCTGCAGTGTGTTTAGCATTATAGTCTGTCTCATATTAGCTGCAGATAAACGGATTATATGTTTGCACAAAACAAGGACTGTAGATTTTGTTCCCCAACGCCAGTTAACATCAAATGACGCAGTAACTTAACTCATAATCCTCGTCTGGACAGCAAAATTAAATTTGCGTATATCATCCTGAAGTTAGTATTATAAGTCTTTCATTTTAAAAACATAAAATATATCTCACTAAATAATAATCATAATCATTTATTTGACATGCCTTTGAAAATAAGATCAGGACCTCGTTGGAACAGCAGGATTAAATGGGGTCAGTTTCTTCTTAAATGAAACATTTTATGCCAGGCTGCCTGTTTTAGCACCTTTAAGTGCATTAATGTGGATCCTTTTATAGCAGACAACTGTGCTTTGAATCCATATTTATCAGTTACATTTTCCAACCTTTCTGGCAGGCAATGATGCACACTCATTTCCATATGTAGGGGAAGACTTTAAACTCGCTTTAACTGCTGTCGGTTAAGACAGTTTACTGTGGTGTGTCGCCGTGATAATGCAACTTACAAGAGACTACTGATATGGTCTGTTGAGGTTAACTGAGGGTGTTCTGTCTGCACTGAAGGGCCCTACTGTTGTTCTTTTGGACAGTAATTACTGAAGCTGGGATTGGTTTAAAGTGTGTGTGTGTGTGTGTGTGTGTGTGTGTGTGTGTGTGTGTGTGTGTGTGTGTGTGTGTGAAACAATTGCAATATAAAATAAGTGACATTTTGTCTTTTTAAAAATAAAAAAATTCATTTTTTCCTTTTAGACAATATTTGTATCTATTAACACAAAAAAAGGAGCTAAATTGTGTATCTATAATCAGGAAACTAATATAACATGCTTGTGTATTTGAGTGACTGAAGGGTGCCAAAATAAATACATGTAGTTTTTTTATTGATTTTAAAGGCCACATGATTTTTCACATTTTCAATTAAACTGAAGTAACAGGACAACCAGTGTTTCAAAATCATCCACAAAGTAAACAAATGTAGTGAAATTAAAAAAGAAATTCAATATTTACAGAGGTTATTTTCATAAGATAGATAGATATAATATATGGCTAATAGTTTTTATCTTGATTGCTTGTGACACATCAGGTGTATATGCATATTAACTCCCTAGAGTGCAGATCACTACTGTTACTAAAGCAAAGACATCACGGGTGGTTTCTACCGAATACATAAAGTGCTACTACAGCTGATTTTCAATGAGTTAATAACAGAAAACACACATTTCAGAGGGCAGAATGCATCAGACTATCACTCAATAAAAAAAGACAAGATAACATTTTAAAGAGTTAATGAAGCAGTGTATTGCGTCTGCTCCTATTCAGGATACAGATATTTATACACTGTAAGGCTTAATATATTGGATTTACACAATCTGAACAAGTTCATTTCCCATTTGCATAAGACAGATCAGTAATTAATCACTTCAACAAAAAACATGGTTTGAATAAATCTCAATATCCTGCTCTGACAATAAGTAAACATGAATGGAGGAGGAAGTTATAAAAGAAACTGAATGTGGGAGTTATAATTCATTTGATTTATACATTCAGCAGGTCAATTAATGCTTTCTAGTGTATTCTTTATACCAAAAACAGCTTCTCTCTAGTATGAAAAAGGTCTACTGAGTGTTGTGCTAACATACAGAGAAGAGAGCAGCATCAAGCTCTGAGACTAACTGAGGTCACATGACTGTGCGCATTGGCTTTTATAGCAACAGGAAGATGTGAGAACTATTCAGATTCAGATTCAGATTCAAGTTCTGGTTCCAGTTCTTTTTCTATGTCTATCCAGGAGCGTCTCTTGGCACTGGGGAAGTCCTTACCTAAAGCACCTCGGGTTAAAGGCCGAAATGTATTCACATCTCCAAGCTGGGTGGTTGTTGCAGGACTTCCCTTGCGTCTAGTGTCAGGGCTTTTAAAAATGTGAGAAAGTCTGAGAGGGCTGTTCTTGTTGGATTTAGATGGACCACGTCCTGCTTGCATAATTGGAGGACTCCACAGTTCTGCCAACTTATTCTTCGGAGGCCTTCCTCTGCCTCGTTTGGCTGCCACCGGGTTGTCTCTAACCATTACTGGGGTGTTCGCAGCTCGTGTCTTAGTCACCTCCAAAGCAATCTTTTCACTTCGTCTTTTTCTAACCAGAATAGATGTTACACTTTTACTGACGCCTTTACTGGTGTCTTCCACCACGGTATGTTTTACATTTTCACTAACGGGGGTAACTGGCTGCTTTCGAGGCCTGCCTCTGCTCCGGCGGACTACAGGAGGGCTCTGATCAGGTTCCGGCTTAACAGAAGTAGGAATCTGACCCACACGGTTAAAACTCAAGCTGGCAGCTGCCCGTGTTTTGTGCACGCCCACCCCTGCGCCGCACTCCTGGCTGTTCTCCACAGCTTTGCGGAGCCGACCCAGGCCCAAAGATTGATTTGTTAAGGAGGGCGAGCTCAGCCAGGGGGGGGTTTACACCTGAACGCTTTGATTCAGAGTTTGAGGATTGTACAGTTTTGTCCTCCAAAACACAACTGTTTTTCGAACTCGAGGGGTGCACAGATTCAGATAAGTTCTTCTCTCTTTTCTTGGACGAGTCGGCATCAGAAGGTTGCATATTAACCTCTCCTTCTTCTTCCTTCTGCTTGGGATTCAAGACCATGAGTGTATAGAAGCCTTGACCAACTGTGAGAAAAGAAGAAAGTATATGTGTAAGATTATATAGATTATAATAATACATACAATTGAAGAGAATTATATTCAGGGATTAAATCATGGCTGAAGCGAAATGTCTTAACCTACTTGGTCTCAGAGATGAGGGAAGTATGATTCTGCCGGTCTTTGAGCGAATTAGAGGAAGAGTGAAAGGCTGTGAAGGGTTGGAATTAAGTGTGGAGGATGTAGGTGAGGCTCCATCCTCATTTTGGGAATTGGACATACTGAACTGGGCTGAGGCTCCAGGTATCTTCTGTTGGCCCCCGAACATAGGCTCATGTTGGACTGAGGCAGCAGGTTCAACTGGCTGGTTTGCTGCCTGTGGTGAGGGTGCAGTGACCTCAGCCTGGGCTGGAGAGGAGAACACTGCCTGAAGCCGAGACTGTGGCGTGGGCTTGGGAGTCTTGTCTATACTGTTCTGGGCTGCAGCTGTGTGTGGGTTCGCCAGAGATGGAGCCATGTTGAAGTCAGGCTGTAACAGGGGTGTGGGCTGGAGATTGGACTGAGGAGTAATGGCTTGCAGTAAAGCAGCTCTGGACTGGAGTAGATTGGAAAAGAAGGGCTTCCATTTCATCGTCTTTTCTCTCATTTTCTGCCTGTCGCAGATCTCCTTCAGCTTGTGTTTGATCAGCGTATCGGACTTCCCTAAAAAGGAGAAATTTCATACGACAAGATTCAGTACAGGCAGCGACATACCTATTTGTTCATTCAGATATGAGTAGTACCATTGTATTTACTCATTCAACATCAGTGTTGCTTTTTAAATGTTATCAGGTACAATATTTTGAATTGGCTATTGGTGCTCTTTATTAATGATTTAAAACACTATAAGTTCAAGTCAGACACAAACAGATTTAAATAGCACATATATCAGCACAACGTGTGACTAAGTTCATAATGCAACAACATGCAGGAACACAAACTGTACATACCAGACAAAAGAGAAAGCTCCTTCACATACAAAGACTGCATCTGAGTCAGCCTCCTCTTCGTCTCCTCCAGACGTTTAGAGGACTCAACCAGATTCTGGATTTCTTTATTGGCCTGCAAACGAAACAAAACAGAAAAGACTGAGTGAAGATGGTGACATGGAGCTGTGAAAGGATTATCTTGTCAAACCTGAACGAGTATGAATAGTGAAATGGGGAAATTGTTAATCGGCAAAACAGTTTGTGTGGGCAACCATACACAGATCTGCAACGTGCATACATCTATCTGAAATATCTTGTGAAGAGTTATTCCTCACTCCTCTTTAATGGCAGCTGGTAGCATACAGCATTGTACAGAATTAATTACAACTTCAATGTGCACATTAGAGGGAATTTAATTTAACAGTTTATACTGTCAAATTAAATAACCTAAAAAAATGTAAAAATGTCTCCTTACTATAATGAATGACAATAATGAGTTTTTGTGAGTGTAGGCTAAATGTAAGTTTGTTAAGTTTTCATGTAGAGTATGTTTGCTAGAAGTGGTTAATTTAAATTGGTTCAAACAAGTTCTAACTATTGTTAATTAAACTAAAACTAGTAATTGCACAAATTCAATTCTCTGGCAATATCCACTACAGTCATAATCATCTAAAAGGCTCTATAAACCTATTTTCTCTAAAACATCTTTCTGTGAGCCAATTTCCTCTGTTTTTTTCCGTGTTGGAACTGACCAGGGAGAGGAGGATCAGCCTGGGGGCCCGGGGGTCACTCTTAAGGACGTTACGGAGTTTGATGAAGAGGGTCTTCTGCTCACTGCGTCTTTGCCTTTCTAGCACTGAGTGGTTCTTCCGCCTCCGTTTATCTATGGACTCGCCATGTTTGTCACCAGTTTCATCCTGGAATAGAGAGACAGCGGGGACGATAATAAAAAACTAATACTAACCTACTCTCATAAGTCCAAGATAAAAAACAATTACACTTTGCAGGTTTACTGAAAGAGGATAATGATGTGAGATTGATAATGGCTTTATCAAGATAATTACTTTGGAAATAGCTATTTTGCTGCATTAGAAAAAGGCTGCTACAGCGGTGAAAAGGTCGTACCTGGACACAGAGTTCCCTTGCTGATCCCAAATCATCACTGGAATCCCTGAAGGTAAGGTAGACAAGAATTAAACAAAACTTTGAGGGACAAAATGCTAATCCTTTTCATTCAATAGCAAATATGCACAGGTCCACATGCCGTATATCCATTCATTTACAAGCACACACGTATTCACATGTATTACCGTGACTCCTGTAATGCTGTTCTCACAGCTTCTTTCAGTATAGCGATGGCTTTTCCTTGTCCTACTTCTTCTACAGTCTCAATGTCCACTATCTCCTCCTGAAGAAAACAACATTCAGCAGGCAGTTTTTAAAGCTGTAACAGTAACTACATTTACAACACTTTGTTTATGCATTGTAATTCAAACTCAACATTTAAAACCATATTTCAGTTAGAGAAAGAAATGTTTAATTAAAAACAAAAAACACTTACATCTTCATCCCCCTCTCCACCGTAGTCTGAGGAGTCGGAGCTTAAATCCTCTGAAGCAATGTCCAGGTTTGATTCCATCTGACTGTTGTTAGCTTCATCAGTCTCCTCTGTGGGCATCTTTTCATCACACATCAGCTCAGAGAAGGATCTAGGTTCCAGCGACTTGCTGCTTAATAGTTCCTTAGCTCTCATAAATGTGTGCAAACCAAGCAAGTTTGCAGGTGAATCAGCTGCTAAGTTTCCAAAATAAAACAAAGGCTCTTTTGGTGGTGGGGCTTTATGGACTCCGGTCATGTTTGTAACGTTCTCAGATTTGGATTGTTGCACAGCTCCGTTAGCTCCAGGCTTAGGGAGCTGAATGAGGGTGAAGCCCCCAGGCAGGGTGACTCCTGGTAGGTTCTGGTCTCTGGTGCCATGGTTGGCTGGAGGGCAGATTCTGAATGAATAGGTGCCACTCTGTCCTAAGAAGCTGGGGGTTTTCAGGGATTGCGAGACGGTGAGAGAGACGGGTGAGGGCGTAGAGCTGTTCTGGAAGAGGCTGACAGAGCTGCGTTGGCCCGAGGCAAATGTCTGGACAGGGTTGATGGTCGAGTGGTTTTGTGAATGCTGTGGTAAATTGATGGATCCCTTTCTCCAAGAGTCTGGCTGGGGTAGCTGAACTGAATAAAAAAAAAACAATGCAGGGCATGACAGTGAGACAAAGAAACAATTATCATATTTCTACAAACCTCCTGTGATTATTCTGGATATAGAAATAATTTAAATCTTTAAAGCTAAATTCTAATCTAATCCTGGGGAGTAGAAAACGTATGTTTAATGTTGGCCAGATTAGGGCTTCTACGTTAACATGTAGAGAATGCACAGATACAAGATTGTAAGTATATACTTAATTCCTCCCAACACTTGGAAAAACTGACACTCCTGGTTTTATCTTTTGGAAACTAGATTCATAGCCAGTATATTTAGGTGGTTTTATTTCCTTGGATGATTTCAACATTAGCAGTAGCTGCAGGTGTGTCTGTGTTGGGAGGGTTCTTGAGTTGATTACTTTTCCCTCCTTTGGGGAGCAATCAGTTTAAAACTAAGTGCCTGTGCTGGGGTCAGAGAGACAACTTTACCTGGTGGCTGTGTTGGTGTCTTCAGCTCAGTGGTTTTCCTTGCAGTTATAATTGCAGGGACTACTGAGCCAGCAGCCTTTATGTGCAGGGGACCAGGAGTGTTGATTTTGTTTGTAGGGTCTGATTTCTGAGAGTTCTTATGAGAAATGTCGGCAGGCGCATGCAGCCGGCCTGTGACGTATGCTGCAAGGCGGTTGGCTGGATGTAAAGACCCCATGTTCCCAAGCAACAGTCTGGCCTGATTGTATGATTTGCCATTTACCTGTAAATACAAATGTATTACTCACATACATTTAAATGTACATTCATATTAATAGTCTACATAAATGGCATTTCTTTGAGTCTGACCTGTATAAGTCCATATGCTAAGCAACCAACAGGTTTAGTCCTGGCTCTCAGTCTGCCGGCAGGTAACACTCCACTCAAGAAGGGTGTGACTCCAAACTGCATCTCTGGCTCTTCAATTTGGCCATCTTCGTCTTCTGGATCAATGTCCCCATCAAGGCTTTTATTGGCATGCCTTTCCTCATCACTGTCATCAAATTCATCTTCATCATTATCACTGGCTTTTGATGGTTTACTGATGTGCACCTAAAAGAAAATTCAAGTTATGAAATCCATGTGTAGGACATCCACTACACATTTAAACAATCGCTGAGAGCTTATAATATACAGAGTCTGGTCTGTTTTGGATCAGCTGTTGTTTATATCATTTAAATAACTAATATGCCATGGCAATAAACCAGTAAGTTAAAATTAACATATAACTATTTAGGAAGCAAGGATAATACTGACAACAACATGGATCATTACTCTTCAGAGACCTACCCTGTAGGTGACGATGGAGCCACTGGGCTTCCGCATGAAGATCTTGGCGACCGGGCGGACGCAGTAAGGTCCTATGCAGAAGCTCTGACACAGCCTATTCTGATTCATGCGTCGACATAAAGTTTCCAGCACCATTTTGCGATCCTTGCCCCACTGACACGCTGACTGGATCTCGATTTGCTTTTTCGCTTCCGTTTCGTCGGACGTGGTCCCCTGAGAAGACTCTGCTGGGGGAAATAATGAATTATGGTTGAGTGTGTTCAATGCAGCGCCAAGAGCAAGAAAACAAAATGAATACAAAAGATTTAATCTCCAGGGGCTGGTGAAACATTTAAAGCACAAACAAAATTTGCTTTGGTTCCTTACCTGCTTTTTTAACAGTCATTATAGTTCTGTAATACTTTTTCGGCAGGTCATCAGTGGTTGTCTTCTCCGGTTTCCGCTGTGGTGTTTGGTGTACAAGTACTGACAATCTTGGGCTCTATGGTGACTACAGGAGGAGGCTTGCTGTTGAACTCTCTTACACGTGCACATGTCATCATGCTCTCCAAGTATTTATAAACTGGATCTTTATCCTCTTCTTTAATCTGCAATCATAATTTTATTCAAGTTAAAAAAACACAAGGAACATAAGGTCTACAAATAGCTCTTATATCTTATACTAAAATTAATGAATAATTAGCAACATATAAGACAGTAAGGCATAAAAAGGGGTGGAAAGTGTCTATTAATGGACAAAGAGAGATATTGTATTTTACCGGTTGCGTTAGACGAGATACACTGCTGCGTTTTAGGATCTTTGAAGGGACTGCGCACAGAGCAGCACTTTTGGGGGCGAAGATTGGTTCTGGATCCACATCATGAATGTCGTGGTTCCACAGTTTATTAGCATGGGAGCCTGGGTGAGGCGGGACCACATGTTCCATATTAGTCATAGCTGGGGAGGGATAAAAGCATCTTGTTAACACTTCTTCGAGTTAGTGAGGGTTGTGACCAGACCAGGGAACACAATGTGAAAACAGAAAGAAATTCTACCATCTATGTATGAGAGCTCTGAGAACACCTTTGAATAAAATTCAGTGATCCAATTGCTTCAAAAGGTATTTAACAGTCAAAACATAAGATCTATCACTGTAGAAATATAGCAGCCAGAATAAAAAAAAAAAAAAAACACAAATTATATCAAATAACTTGATCTTACAGTAAACAGGCTGGATCTGTTGTTCACTCTCCCCTGCGGCATTCTGCTTGGTGATCTTGCGTTTGAAGCACGCACAGCCAAACATGCATTCAGGCCGCCGGCAGTGGAGGGGACCTCTGTTCAGATGCTGGAGACTGGAACACACGCAGCCCAGTCTGCAGAAGTCTTGACCACATTCAGGTCCCTCAGGTTTATACTTTGGATACGGAGATACTTTCAAGACCTGACTGGACTGCATCTGATTAAAAGTAAAAGAGATTTATACTCTTATTTACCAATTTATATTTCATGATATAAAAGCAAGAGTTTAGTATGAAAAAATGTGACAAAAAATGAAATCTGCACTAATACCGCCCATCACTAACGTAAAATGACATGTTGCATACCTGTTTTGTCAGCATTACAGACAGAGCCATTGACAGCCTGTCTGGTGTCAGCTGTGTTCTGCTCAGACCCTTGTTCTGAGCTCCAATCTCCATCTTCAACATTTTCAATTGGAACTTAGTGAGACCTGGAGGTCTGTGTGTAATCCCTTGGCTCTGCCCAAAGCTCAATGCTGATCTCTGGCTGACCCCTGGGTGGTGTGTAATTAATCTTAAGAGACAGGACGAAATCAGCAGATTAGTAATGTTCATTTTAATTTACTAAAAAAACTGTATGGAAAGCAAGAAAACTCAACAAAGTCAGAGTATGTGCTGCATTTCAAAGTGCTCTCTAAAAGTTTTAAAACAATTTACTGATACTGATTTTGCAACATTCATAGTGTGCATGTATATAAGTGAAAAATATGTAATTATCCTCAAATAAAGCATGCTCAAATTGTGCTGCAATCGGGGGTTTAAGTAAAGTCAACATAAAATTAACACACAAAATGACCAAGTAAGACCTTAGCTCAAAGGTAACCATTTTTCTAGACATACAGACATATGAAAATAAGAAAATAAATAAATATAACCAATAAAAACGGCATTATTGCATTTCCAGAAGAAACGGCATGGAAACTAATCAAAGAAGGCTAATTGTGTAAAATGCGTTTCCCTTTTACTCAGCCATTTCATATTCATGTCACGAGCCAGGACACATTTTAACATGTTTTGTGGTTGATTCATTCAAGAAATAACTTTTTAAAGACTTATCAAAATTAACTGAGAACTCTATTGATACTCAGTTTGGCACTTTGATGGTTCTAGCTTCAATAGGAAGATTTGCTGCTTTTCTTCGTCTTACATCATAGTAAACTGAAATTTTGGATTTGAACAGCTGTTTGAAATAAGGAAAGAACCAGTGGATTAATTGATAAAGAAAATAAATATTATTTCCTGGCCTCAAAATAACTAAATAAAGAAGTAAATAATGTGCACAAAAACTGGAAAATTATGATTAAATGTGGATAGATGTGTCCAAAAAAAGAGACCCTAAAATGAAGAAATTACAAACATTCCTACCTTTGTGAAACCGAAGTAGTGTAACTGGACCCAGGAGCAGCATTTACTGCCAACACAGGTCCTGGCTGCCTACATGATGATGCAGACTGCAGTATGGACTGAGCTCCTGCTTGACCAGGGGGCTCAAGGCTGGCCAAAGGAGGGGCAGGTGACATCAGGGCAGAGTAGAGGAGGGGTTTATGGGAAAGGGGGCAAGGTCTGTTGGCCGACACAGGGGCTGTGGAAGCAGCGTTTCGATGCTTGAGGACACTGTCCAAGGTCTTTACGTAGCTGGAGCTTTTAGCAGGTAACTGATAGGCCACAGATCCTGCGGAGTTTGAGGAGAAGGCAGCAGCACGCTCACTGATATACTGGGCTTCACTTTCCAAATACTCATCCAACATGTTGCTGCAGAACGCTGATAGGTTCTTTTGGGATCCTTTAGGAAAGGGAGAATAAAGTTTAAGAGAGTTCAATTCATCCATGAGAAATAATTAATCAGACAAGTACATTCAGTTAGTTTCAGAGCTGTTAATCTTCTGCTAATTAGAATGACTACACAAATCCCATTGAATGATAACAGGGACACTGCAGCTACAACAAGACAAGCAAACCTTACCATCGCAGTGAGGAGGAGACGTTTCTTTGCTTCTTATGAACTTGTTTTTCCATCCCTTTATTTTTGTCATGTCGCTTGTCTTCCCTGTTCGGGAGATGAAGGGTAAACCCTCATCTGTGAAATAAACATACTGCATTAGCCTTCAGTTACAAGGACACAGCGCACTATGTTCAATGCGTCACAAAGTCGGTTTAATTGCTGTAGTAGAAAATCAGGTTTTCACTTAATTCTGTTGTTATTTAATTCTCTTTGTTGAAAAGTTAACTATATTTCTTCAAGTATGCAGAATGTTTACTGATAGATAAAAATCTTCAAATTGCAGAACAGTGGGCAACAACATTTGGAGAGCTGTTAACCACTTCCTGTAGTTCAGTTCTCTGTTTTTCCTGTGTTCATTAGGAAAATTAATTCTCTATCACTCAGTGTAGACACCTCTGAAAACAATGTCACATTGACTTACTCTGTCAAATTATGTGACCTGGTTCTGTTGACAAGTATCACAACATATAAATACAAATCAACACTTTACAGTGTTTCCTCTATGTTGATTTTGGAGTGGCGGCCCACCGCTGTTAAATTTCTGCCGCCACGGTATCAGAAATGGGGCAGACGCACAATGTAGTCACGGTTGCCTTTTAAATGATCATGCCGACATAATGCACCCCCGTTGGCTTCCACTCACATTGCAATTTAACAACGAGTAGAACTATTCAGAGGTTATTGGGGCTGTCCAGTTTAACTCCACATACTGTTGTGTTGATGTAGCTTATTGTCGAAACGTTCGCTTTCTGCCAAGTCCACTATTAAACTAACAGCTCCACCAAAAACGTCACCGCGGTAGGTCTGTTTTAATTGGACAACGTTCAACTTGTCAGTTCTCAGCTGAACGTTCTGATATCAAACATCTGGAAACATTAAAACGGTAAATATATTTGTTTGTGCCGCCGTGACGGGACGGGGTCCAGACGGGCCTGCCGCCACTGCTAAAAAAAATCCTAGAGGAAACACTGCTTTATTAGATTATTTAGAATCGATGGGGAAATACTGTCCCGGACATGGACGTCATGATGAAATACAATCTACGCACATACTCAATCTACTTCGTTGAACAACCCGGTGACGTTTCGGAAGTGGTGTTACAAAAGGTTTAGAGATTGTTGTATTAAAAATACTTTGAATTATCAGTTTAATTTGGTCTCCCCAGGCAATATTTTTACGTCCCCAATTCCTAATAAATAAATAAATAAATAAATAAATGCTGCTGATGTCAAAAATCCAATAAACTAAGTTTAAAAAGAGAGCGAGAGAGCGAGAGAAGTGGCATAACAGTGGACACTGAGAATGTTCTAGTAAGACCATAAGGGGGAGGGAGACTCACATCCTCATTGTGGAGGCCTTTCAGCTTCACGCCTACGGATCTTTGATCAGTGTTATATAAAGAACGCGAAAAAGAGGAGGTGTTCCAGAAACTACACAGTGCCAGACCCCTGCTGGCCTGGTCGATGAAAATGTCGAGCCCAAGTATTTGAAATACAAGCAGACCATTTGAAAACCATTACTAGGCCATATTCTTAAACTTCAAACCACTTTTCAGATTCAGCTTGTTTCCTGCATCTCGAAATCATACAAAGCTCTAATCAGACCTGACTGACAAACTACAGATGAGGCTTGCAGGAAAAGGTAATTGCCTTTAATTTACCATACTAAATATACTACACTAAACATCACAAATGTGCCATCTAAATTTAGATTAGATTAAATTAGAGATGTTAAAATGATTAAAATATGGGGTATAATTACACAGGGCCCTTATCACTTTGCCCTCATGTATCTATGGAAATGCAGAGGGCAGCTTGCCCACAGCATTGTCTCCAATCATAGCTGGTTAGACAATGCAGACATGAGGCCTTTTTTGCTCTTCTCTGAAAATATGGTAAAACATTAAACTGATGTTAAAGTTCATTGCAGGTTTTATAGGGGGGTCTGTTTACATGGAGCAACTACCATTTTTCCAGAGCCTCCCTCCATAAAATCTGTTCAATAAAATAAATAAAAAAGATAATTGATTTTACATGAGGAAAAAGAACACAAATGTACCCTATATAAAGCATTTGCAAACTGCAAAAGATCAGTCCAACTTACCACCAGGAGACATGGCATTGCCTTCTTCTGTTAGGTTTGGAGGAGGCAGTGGCAGCTGGACCCCCAGATACTGCAGGTCGATAGACTTGGTTGGTTCTAGGGAGCTCAACTTCAAACCCACTAGAAAATAGACAAAAAGAAGTCCAC